TCCCCGTGTCCCTGCTGCCCAGGGGTGGCTGGCAGACTGGGCTCCTCATGTGCGTGAGTTCAGGAGAAGCCCTGTTGTGCTGACATAAGCAGTGTTTTCTGGTCAGGGGACAAACACAGCCTTCCTTTTTCTTAGCTTCCGTTGTTTTCAAATTAATAATTTTCCTTTTAATTTTGGAAACTTTTAGTGACCTTTTGGTTGTGATCTCTGAAGAGAAAGCAGCTCGTGGTTTTCAGCCTCCTCTTGAGTGAGGAGTTGTCCAAACTGCTGGCACTGCAGATGGATAATTGCAAACTCTTGTGCTGGTTTAGTGGCAGAGGCATGACAAAAACAGCAGAGCTGTTCACTGGCTGAGTGGAATGTCCTGGAAATGGGAAAAGGCTTGTGCTTGGTCAATCTTAAATATGTAAATTGTGTTTAGAAAAAATAAATCAGAAGGCTGGGCAAATCAGAAGGTACTTTCAGCTAGAAATACTGAAAAAAATAGTAATTTAAGCTGCTTTGTAAGGTAATTTAGACTAAATTTTGGTTATTCTTCTTTATTACCCATCACACGCATTGCATGCATCTGAAATCTGAACCTTCATGGAGGGAGTTATTTTTGAGTCATGACTTGTATTCTGTGTGGAAAAAAAAAACCCTGGAGTTGATGTAGTGTATTTACTTGACACTTAAACACAGGTAGAAGAAGGATGCAGCTTTCTTTATGGTGTTTCAGACACTGTGCACATAGGATATTACTTTGTGCTGTATTTTGCAGATTTTCAGCAAAACGCTGAAAAAAGCAACATTTGTTTCTGGCAGAGTTTCTCAGCTTGCATATTGGTTACAGCTGATTTGTAACTTGTTGGAAACGGTCTGTCCTGGAGTCTCAGGCACCTTGTAGGAAAGGTGTCCTTCAGCATGGTTACTGAGAAGCTTTAGAGTCAAAACCTGGATGTTTTGGGATGGTGTAAAGTCTGGAATTTGAAATACTGATTTAATCTTGGTAAATACATTCTTGTATATTAAGAAATAACCTAGTTTCATAACGTTTTGTTTTCAGTTAACGTGAAATGGGGAAAAGAGAAATTTGATGGCGTCGAGCTTAATACTGATGAGCCTCCAATGGTCTTCAAAGCCCAGTTGTTTGCACTGACTGGAGTCCAGCCAGCTAGACAGAAGGTCATGGTTAAAGGAGGAACTCTGAAGGTAGAAATCTGGGTGGAGAGGGGTTCTGTTACTTCTAACTGTATAAAACAATGTTCAATTCCCATATTTTAAGAGTCTCTCCAGAAGATCTTTCATTGTATGTATTAAACTGACCACACTTTTCAGAATTAATTCTGTCTGATTCATTGCCCACTGCCTGAAAATAATGGCAAAAGTTTGCTGATAAATGCTTGGGAGGTACACTACTGGTTTAAAACATTCTTTTATAGCAAACACTACTCTGCTTTATGGTTGTTGGTTTTTATTTTTTCAGTTCCTCTTTAATGTTCAGAATCTGCAACTTGCTTTTTAACTTTTTGAAGAAAAGTTTTTCTGGCACTTCTGTGCTAGAGACTTACCAGTTTAATGTGATACAGGCAACTTTCCTACAAAAATTTAGACTTGTTCTGGTTAAAAGACCTTCAAAATCACAAAGTCCAACCATTAACCCAGCACTGCTGGGTCACCACTAACCCATGTCCCTGAGTGTCACATCTCCACATCTTTTAAACACCTCCAGGTGTGATGATTCCATCACTGCCCTGGGCAGCCTGTTCCAGTACTTGACAGCCCTTTCTGGGGAGAAATTTTTCCTTCTATCTAATCTAAACTTCCCCTCTAAGTTGTTTACATCTTAACAGTGTTGAACAACAGATGAGGAGCCTTGACTGCTTTTTATTTTAGTCAGACAAGACTTGGTGTTGTGTAAATAGTTCATGTTGTGGAATCTTGGATGAAGCAATTGTAGATTTAGAAATATGTCATTAATATTAATGAAAATACTTGTTTTGTCTTTTGCTGCAGCTAATTAACTCATCTTTTATTTCATTTCAAATACAGGATGATGACTGGGGGAACCTAAAAATAAAGAATGTAAGTTCTGAGGAATAACTAAATTTCACTAGCTGGATTTTTTTATTTTGGTGTTTAAAGAAAGATTTGAAGTCCTTGCTGTTTCTGTGTGAATGGGTAACTCTTTCTTAAAAATCAGAATTTGAAAAGTAATTTTATAGTTGTCATGCCTAAGCATTCTTAAAGAGTCATCAACATTCATTTGTAAAAAGCCTTTTTTGGCATCCAGAGGTAAATTACAGCATCTTCCTGAAGTACCTGGGAGCACAGATTTCTTAGAAGAAATGTTCTGAATAATAAGCAATGTTTTTTAGAGAGAGCCTGTGAACCTGAGCACTGTCTGTGCTTCTGCATCCCCAGCATGGGGAATCATTGCATGACAAGTGCTGGAGTTACAGCTCTGCCCAGCTCCCTTTTTAGCAGCCTGCTGAAATGTCTTCTGTACTAAACAGCTGCTGTTTAAACCCAAAGCTGTCAGTAGTGGTTATTCATACTTCTGACTAGTTCAAAAAGAAAACAAAAAGTAATGTATTTGTGTGTCTTACTTATGTAATATTGTAACAAGGAATCCCAAATATTTCTGTCTGGGATTTTTTGGTCACTTTAATTTCCTCAGGTATCTTGTAACATCTGTTTGGTACAGGTTTTACTCCAGTTCTTCACTGAGTGAAGGGAATTAGGGAGCATTACTCTTACCCTTAGAATTAGTTTGCAAGCCTCTGTTAGCAGCCTTTAACTGCAGCTGTTGTAGCAAAGGAGTTCAGCACAGACCCCAGTACATAATAATCTTGTCTTTTTCTGCATACTGCTACACTGCTCACTGCCTTTATTGGTTTTGATCATGTTGTATGCACGTTGTGGGAGTTTACACTGTCAGAGCAGTTTCTTTCTGTTCTGTTCTCCATCTCTTTCCTTAGCCCTGTATTTTTCAAGCCCCTAAACAGCCATTTTCTCCCCCATTGGTAGATCTTGTGGAGATGTACTCCCATGGGTGCTGAATGCTGAAAAACTCCTTTTCCACATGCTAGTCCAGCAGTAACATGGCAACTAGATTGTTGGGGGTTTTTTTCCCCCCTTTGAATGTTAGTCCTCATGCCTAAACTGATGGGCTCATTTGAGTTATTTTTCATTTTCCAGTTAGTCTAACGACTTCAGAACTTGCCAGACCAAAGGATGGCACTTCCCTTTCCAATGGGAAAAAAAATAACCTGAACTAGGAGCTTATATCTGTCTGAAGTGTTTTCCTGCATTCTAGGCTAAAGATGTGTGATGATTTATTGTTGTTTAGAGAATTCTGAATTTGAGAACTGGAGATGCTGTCGACTGAAAGGCTCAAACATTGCAGCTTCTTTCAAATCAGAATTTGAGCACCAAGGAATTTTTTAAAACTCAGAGGAAGGAGGACTTTTTGTACTGAAGTGTTGAAGGTGCTTCATTCCTGGTGGTGCAGGTGGAAGGGAGCTTTTCTGAACACTTCATGTGGGGTTACTCCATGACTGTTAAATGTAGTCCCAGCTGGAATCTTGTGTTGTCATCAGGCTCAGTGGAAATGCCCAGCATGGACAATGCTGTGGGGTTCTCCATGAGTGCTCTCTGGGAAATGAGAAAGTTAAGAAACAGCAATGGAGTATCAATTCTGTAAGCTAAGAGAAAGATGGTGTTTATCTTTGGAGATAGAGCTGAGATGTGTCAAGAGTCTGATGTTTTTATTTATTTTTTAAAGTGTAAAGAACTGCCCTCAGATGGTGATTGCTGTTTTTACTGTGTTTCAAGGGGATGACCTTGCTAATGATGGGTTCTGCAGATGCACTTCCAGAGGAACCAATTGCTCGGCCCGTCTTTGTAGAAGACATGACAGAGGAGCAGCTAGCTTCAGCTGTAAGCATGTTTTGAACTTTAGTTTCTTGCAAATCTTTGAATAATGGCAGGTTTTAAAATACTTCAGTTGCCTAAAAGTGGGTTTTGAAGCTGTAATGTCTGTTTGGCAGTTATAGCTTGTCTGAGAGATCCAGATTTGCATTGATGACCCAACTGCTAGCAGTGATAAGAAGCCTGGAATTTAAACTAGTGCTTTTTCTCCTTTAAGCAGGCAGCTTAATAAATTTCTTAAAAATGGCACTGTTGATGTTTTAGAAGACAAAGGTGTATTAGTGTTGTGACCTTTGGCTGAACAAGGGCTCTTAGATGTGCAAAATTGTTTCCTGCCTCCTTCATATCTGTGAAGGGAAACCAAGGTTTGTTGGGATGGGGTGTGTTTGGGGTTTCACTTGTCCTTGTTAGTATTAAATATTTCCATTTTCAGAAAGAAAAGTTGAGGTTGGATATTAGTGGAATAGATGATATGTTTTCCTTTATGGGAGCAATGTTTGGAAGAGTGCAGTTAATCTTTTTAACAAAGTAAGATCTGTTTGAGTTTTTTACAATTTGAAAGGCTTAATTTTCTCATCAGTCATTTGAACTAGGAGCTCTTTGTCATACTGGGGGTTCTGTGAGTGTCAGCTGCACATGCAGAGTGGAGGCACTGCTGGGCATGTCTCTGTGAAGATGGAGCTGAAGTTCAGGACTGGTTTTGTGCTTACTCACACCTGCACCAGCAGGTGGAGGATATTTAGGTGTTTTTTGAGACTAACTCTTGAGATAACTGAGAGGCAGACAGGGAGAGGATCCAGTATCAGAGAGTATTTTGAAACAGTTTGCCCCATTGCATTTCTCTGATTGTTATACATCAAAATTCAATTGTCTGTGCTGCATGTATTCAATAAAAATGGATTACAGAACTAAATGAACTCTCTTTGTCAAGTACAGGGGTATCAGTGTGCAGTACTACTGCAGTTCCTTTGAACTGCATGCTCTTCCCTGACAACTCCTCAAATAATGCAGGATTTAAAAAAAGAAGAAAGAAAAATGCTATTATATTGTGATTTATAGTTGTTACTGAAACTAGTTTAATTATTAGCTGGCTTTCACATTTGTCAAAACTAGGAGTTTACAAGTTGTCTGAAAGGATCAAATGTTGCAGACTTCTGGAGAGGAGTTTAAATAGCAGGGCTTTTTTTTCTCTGAACATCACATTCAGAGTCTTTCTGAAAACTGATTTTTAATTAAAACATCAGTGTCTTGTACAAATGTATTCATGTGGAAATGTCATGGAAATAATGTTAAGGTCAAAACTTGGATGGGGTTGTGAGTGAACTCTCTGAATGACTGCCTCCTTGGAGAATATGTTCATGAAACTGAGCATGCAGAGGAGGAACCCCAGAGCAGCCCTGGGAGTCCTCTGAAAGCACTGAGGGATTAACATCCACATCCATCTTTGGGTTACAACATGAAGCTTGGTGGAAGATGCCAGGTTTTATGCATCTCTGAGCATTCCTTTTCTTAGAAGTTGATGTCAGATTACAGTGTTCCTGTAAAAATGGTGCTCATCTCCCTCAGACCCTCCCGTTGCCTTGTGAATGTTTTGGCAGATGGAGTTGCCCTGTGGGCTGACAAACCTTGGCAACACTTGCTACATGAACGCCACGGTCCAGTGCATCCGCTCCGTGCCAGAAGTGAAGGAGGCCCTGAAGAGGTAGGACTCAGCAGGGAAATCCCACTCCTGAAAGGTTTGCTGTAGCTTGGGAAGTAGATATTTTGAGGAATGATGGTCTTTATCCTGGTATGGATGATCATAAAACCTTGTTATGCTTTAAATCGATCCAAGATGAAGATAATGATCAATTGAAGTTCATCCTATGGCTGTGTTAGTCTGTACTTTTTCAAGAACTTAAGACTTTGTTGGAACTGGCTCTTAGTGGAGGGAGTGGGTTTTGCCTAGCTAAAAAGCAGTTCCATTGAGGCTTGTTCAAAATGCTTGAACAAGCTACTGAATCCCTCACTCGTGTTGATGTGTATGGTCTTGTTCTGTAGAAGAGCATTGCATGGGAGTCCTCTTCCTCTGAGGGATATCTTTCCAATGGCTTTATTGCACAGTGTGTGTTCAGCTGGGAATTTCTGACATTTGGGGCTTGGAGGTGCAGCAGGGAGCTGTGACAGGAGCTGGGTGTCCCTGTGGTGGCATGCTGGAATAAGCTGGAGTCACTGTCATGCAGATGTGTGGGGAACAAGACATGCCCTTAAGGAATTTGTTTCATTTGTTCTGTGTGAAAGTGGCCAATTCTTTTTTTGTGAGGCATCCATGAGAAACTTGAATATTATGAAGATGGGAGGAAAAAAGGATACATGGCAATGTGAGCCTGAATTTGTCCTCCAGATGAATAAGGAAACCATAAGTATTTAAAAAATGTGAGGATTAGATAGAGCATTGCCATCTTGGAGTTAATTCATTTAAAATACACTGATCTCTGCAAGTGTACTCCCTGGTTTGTAGTGTCAGGGGAGAGTTTCCTGCTTGTTGTGTAGCAAGGGACTTCTGAAGTTCAGTTTGAGATTAGAGAAGGCATGAGACAGTCCCCTCCACTTTTGCCTGAGGGCTTACATGCTTTGAGATCATCTGTTCCTCATGCAGCTGGCAAATTAAGAAATCATTCAAAGAGTGGCAGGTTCTAGTATTACAGGTGGACTCTTGTTCTTTTTCAGTGTAGAAAATGTCTCACCTCTCACTGTTTTGCTTCTGCTGGGGCTGGAGGAACAAGCCTGCTCTGCATCTCTGTGCATTTTATATGCCATCTGTCCTTCATGGTGGTTTCTTCCATGCATCTGAAGCTGTGGCAAATGTTTCAGAAATAGGGTAGCTTCTATTTAGAGTGTTTCTCAGTGTCTTTAAAATCAGGTTGGATTAGGGAGACAGCAGTGATGCATCCAGACTTCTCAGTCTGCAGTCATTATTGTCACAAGGATGCCAGTTTCCCTTTGCTTGCAAAGTAGCTGAGACATTGAGGTGAGTGTGAGTAAATCTCATCTTCAGTTACTTCTGGTCTGGTGACAGATTTCTTCTGATACATGTAAATAAATCTACCTGCTGCCTGCTGTATGATTTAAAAACCTGACTGCTCTTCTTAATTGTGTTTAACTGCATCCAGATTCTTTTCCTTCTGTCTTAGGTATGGTGGTGCCTTAAGAGCTTCAGGAGAAATGGCCTCTGCTCAGTACATCACAGCAGGTTGGTGTTGAGAGTAGAACACAGTGGTTTAGGCTGGTGGGTGACTTCCTGCTAACTAGATGAAAACTGTAGGTAGGACTCAAGGTGTTTCTGCCAGTGCATACCCCTTGGGGGTTTCAGCTCTGCTAGCACTGGAGGATCTATTTTGCTCTGTCATTAATATCTTTAAAGTTTCTTTGGCTGCCAAGCACACATCTCTGCACACTAGGAACAATGTTCCATCTGGGCTTAGACAGAAGTCACTGCTCTCTCTTAACTGCCTTGCCTGTAGGCATAAAGTAACTGCAGCTTCCTAAAGCAGACTCCATCCATCCTTGATGTGATAATTTTGTGTAGAAAACTGTTAGTGTACACTTCTTTGTTGTACTGAATGGTGGATTAATGCCATACTCCTAGAATATGTGTTTCATTGATATTTTTTAATATCATTTATTGGCTGAGCATTATTAGGTGGTAGCTGATGCTTTATCAGTGGTCTAGTCCTTACCCTAAAGATCCATTTCTAGCTGAAGTAGAAAGTAGTGCTTCAGAAGGGGGGTTCCCCTTGGTTGTGGTGCTGGGGGTGCTCACAGAGGGGGAGCTCAGGATGGCCCCCTGTCCCCCAGCTCTAACTAGAACTCCAGTTACACCCCTGACCCTTCAACAAGGGGACGACTTCTCCACTCTTTCTTTTTTTACTCTATTTCATTGCCCCACTAAGATGCTGGGCCAGGACACTGGGATTTCTACCAGTCCATTTAAGGAAAAACAAAACAATGTAAGGAAGGACAGGTCCAGTTTGTGGGTATGCCTGCTGATGGAGTGTTGGGGTGGTAAGTTGAATGGTTCCTCTCTACAGCCATGCCTGCCCCATCCCTTCTCACTGCCTCTACGTCGTGTCCCCCATTTTCTTTTTAGGGTGACAGCTCTGCTTTTTAGGAATCTTAGTAGTTTAAGTAATTTGTAGTTAATCCTTTGGTGCTGAGCTGGTCAGGAACTCCTGCATGACACTTGTGGCATATTTTTTTTTAATTGCTGTGTGATATCAGTTGTCCCTCTTATCAAGGTGAGTGAAGATACTTCTTAGAGAGAGGAAGCAGCTGACCTTGGTTCCTTGTAAACCTGCCTATATTCACTTAGAGTATCATTCATTAGTCTCTCCACTTGTACAGCAGTGGCCATATAGACTGTTGCCTACCTCACAGGGTTGTTGTCAGGTTTAACATGTCTCTGAAGTTATTTATGTATTTAAAATGCTGCAACCTGGGTAGGTAAGACACAATAGTAATGTGTCTGGAGGAGAAGAGAGCCATGTGTGTTGTCATGCAGTCAGCATTCATTCAACTGCACACAGCTATAAACTGTGCACATATGCAGACACATATTTGTGTTCCTGGGTCTTAAACTGAGCATGGGTATATTCTAAATATTCTAGTAAGGTTTTTTTTCCCCAGTAGCTGGTGAGAATTTATCTCCTCTAGAGGATAGATTGTGAATGCCTTCTGGTGTCTCTAGGTGTAGTCTTCTTGTGAAACATCATTCCTGAGATGTGTTTCAAATGAAATCTTAACTGCTCAGAAATGTGTTGGCTTTTTTTGCCTTTTTGGTTTTTTTTTGTTTTTCTTCTGTTAGCAGTCAGGAAGGACAAAGTACTCTGTGCCCAACTCAGAATTGTCATCTTTATGCTTGCAAAGTCATGTGCACAAATGAGATCCTAGGGCTACCTTGAAAATATGGTCCTGCTTTAGAAATATCAAATTAGACACTGTTGAATGATTACTTTAGATGTTGCTGCTGTTTTACTATTCTTTTTACATTTCCTGCCATGTTTGAGTTGTTTTTTTCACTTCTCAAAGCATTCACTTACTTTTTCTTCAAGCTCTTAGAGACTTGTTTGATTCCATGGATAAAACTTCCTCCAGTATCCCACCTATCATTCTCCTGCAGTTTTTACATATGGCCTTCCCACAGTTTGCAGAGAAAGGAGATCAAGGCCAGTACCTTCAGCAGGTAAAGACCACTTCTTAGCTTACTGTTTGAAAACTCTCTGGTATGTTGGAAGTTGAGAATGAGAATATTTTAACTTTCTTTCTCTTCTGAGAGTGATTTATCCCACTAAACTCTTTGCTTTTGTATTGTTTAAAAAATCTGAATGTAGTATCTAGTGCTAGCTCTGACAAAGGTATGGTGGAGTAAGGAGGAGTTCTTAGTTAAGGAATCCTTATAGTGTAGAGATTGATGGGTTTAATATTACTAAATCATAATGCCAGTAATGTAATTTAATTAATTATTCCCTTCCTAGGATGCCAACGAGTGCTGGGTGCAGATGATGAGGGTACTACAGCAGAAGCTGGAAGGCATAGAAGGTGATACAATAATGGAGGTAATTGTAGTCTTACTCTAGCCACAGTGAGATTTATTGTGTTTCACATATTTTTTTGCTAAGGATTATCTGTTCTCTGAGTTTTTTAACTTGTGCCTGTAGTGCAGTAAGTGAAGTTGCTTCCTGGGGTGTGTGATCAGCACAGTGCTACCTGTGTCCTGTCAGCTGAGCTGTGGAGTGCTCTGCAGCAGTACTTCCCCCTGGGCTTTGTGAGACATGTCTTGGCAAAAATCTGATAATCTCTCTTTAGTTTTACAGTAGTCTTAAGTTGTGGGGCAGGGAGGTGTGACTTTGATTGAAGTCTTGCTTGCTAAGATGCTTTGAGGTGGCTTTAACAGCATGCTATAAATGCATTTGTTCTGAAATTTTTATACTGTGTAAGGAGACTGGCTGATGAGGAGAAAGGCACCTATAGAAAGATGAAGGGACAGGCTTTGAAGAATAAATGGTTTTGTTTTGTCCATGAAGAGTGTCTCTACATGCTGTTTGAAGTTATATCATAAGAGAATTTGTTTTGCAGACAGACTCTGGAGCTACAGCAGCATCTTCTAAAAAGAAGAGTTTAATTGATCAGTTCTTCAGCATTGAATTTGAAACAGCGTATCCTAAAGACTGAGGCAAGGCCTGAAGGAGGACAGTAACTTCACACTGCAGCAGCTGAGTGCAGGGAGAGTGAAAAGCACTCTTAAGAATAGCATAGAAAATAAAGATTTGTGCTGGGCAAGAGAGGAAATGATGTATTGCAGGAGGACACAGAAGTTGAAATTGGATAAACTTTGCCAGAGAGGATGATGTGGGGAGGAGGAATGGTCATGGAAATTTAGGGGGGAAAAAAAAATAACCCACTGAATTGAAATACCAGATTTCCTCCCCAGAGAAGAGTGCCAGTTATGTGTTTCAAGGATGTTGACATATTTTATCCAAATAAAAGTAATTACTATCCTGAACAGCCCTGGGGGCTTGTGAGGGAGTGTTGCTGATACACTTGGCATACTAACCATGCACAAAAAAGTTTGAATCTTAAGAAGTAAATTAGATGCTACTGTTAGAGACTAATGCAGATGAGGTTGGATAGAATGATTAGAAGAATGTGTAGAAAATAATGAAGAAATGGGCTTGATTTCAGTGCTGAGGACAGATAGAGGGCAGGGGAAGGAGGCTGTAGCAGCTAATGCTTGTCATTAGACATGGAAGAAGAGGTTGGATAGAAGGAAGGGATGTTTCATGCAGGTTTTTTTATACTACTGGAAGTAAAAGTGCTATTTATGCACCAGCACAGGATTATCTTAAATTTCCTGCTGTTCAGCATGATGGTTTTCCTTAATTTTGTGAAGCATGAAATGTACAGAAGCTGAAGAAGAAGAAGTGACTAAAGGAAAGGAGAATCTGCTTCAGCTTAGCTGCTTTATCAATCAAGAAGTGAAATATTTGTTTACAGGACTAAAGTTGGTAAGGCATTACCACTTTTATTGAACTGCAATTCTAAATGACCCGTGTTTTTAATCTGTGACTTCAAATTGACATCTGCTGTCCAAGCTTTACAAAGCTCCAAGATTTCTTCTGGTATTCAGTGGGAAGACTGCAGTGGAAAGGAGTTGCATGGTAATGTAATCCAGACTTGATCAGAGTGTTTTCTTGACCCTGACATGGTCTTCCCCATGCAGGTAACAAAGTGCAAGGCAGTTTGCTCAGCTGCCTTTACTTCAGCCTCAGCAGTATCAGGAGTCATGCTGTAAATGGTTCCCCAAAAGTCCATTTTAAAATATGGTGATGGAGGATGGAACAATTAATTTTTCATATTTTGAAAGGGGTGTTAATTTCAATAACACAACATCATCTTTAGGCTGTTTAAGCAGAACTTCCAGATACAATTTGTAACCAAATCCAGTAGCAAATTCTGTTCCTGTAGAACCCCATTTTCTGCAGAGAAAGCTGGAGCTGTCAGGGCTCAGCAATGGTCTTTCTGTCAAGGAATTCCAGAATTTTCTGTTGTAGTGGCTGACAGCAGCAGCAGGCATTGGCAGAACAAGGTTTAGTTGATGGTGTCTGTGCTGTTCTGTGAGCTGTGTTTTATGGTGAATGTTGTGTTCTTACCCTTTTTTACAGCGTCTTCAGGAGGAGATCACAAAACTCTCTCCAACACTGCAGAGAAATGCACTCTACATCAAATCCGTGAGTGACATTCTCTTGCTCTCTGATTCTTTTAACTGTTGTCAATCTCCTGTCCCAGAACACAAAGTCATTGCTGCAACAGCTTGTGATCTGTGTTTATAAAGCATCTGAATATTCACCAACATGAAATTTAAGACAAGTTTAATTATTTCGAGTACCCTACAATACAGAGTTTCAAAATGGGAAGCCTTGTTGTATTCCTAAGTGTTTGTGCATGAATACATTCCCAGAACAGCCTGTAATTTAGGGTGAGCAGTGTTGAAGGCACAGAAGATGTGTGAAAATGTCAACTAATGGCTTGTTCCACGTTTGTGTCCAGTCCAAAATCAGTCGCTTGCCGGCGTACCTGACCATCCAGATGGTTCGGTTCTTCTACAAAGAGAAGGAGTCTGTCAATGCCAAAGTTCTCAAGGTGAGTCAGTTTCCTGCATATTGAAGTTGAATCCCTTGAATCCCTGTTCAGGCTTTTTTTATTTCAGATAGATAACTAGTAATTGAAGGCTAGTTACTCAATGGCTTGCTTTTAAATTGCATTAAAAAATGTGAATAGCGCAGTTTCGTTGCTCAAGCACAAAGCAGCTTTGTGCCCAGTTGTGAGGGATGGTGTGTGCCAAATTATACTGCCAGGATAGGTGGGGAGGAGGTAAGGGGCAGAAGTGAATTTGCTCCAATACTTTCAGGATGGTTTTTGGTCTCTTTTCACTAGAAGTTCAGAGGAAAACCTTTAAGGAGAGGACCATGCTTGGAATTCATGCACAGTGTTATTAAAGTCAGCAAGAAGTGTTTATGCTAACAAACATTTCTTGTATCAGTTTAATTGTCTGGCTCTCTGATTAACAAATGCAAGAACCAGTTAAACATTCCAGTTTTGCTTCCTGCTCACCTTGGCTGACACATCTCCTGGGCTGCCCAGGGAGCAGCATGACAGATGATGCCTGTTCCTTACAAGACAAGCAAGGGAATAAAGATGAAGGCACATGTGAACTACTGGAGATTATTCAGATCACACACAGTGTCATTTTTGATAGTGTACAGTCATTCAACATGCTTTTTTTTCCTTAGACCTGCATAGGCATTTCTATAGGGTAAAAAAGTATGACAGCCAATAATAAAGAATGTAAATATTTCAAAGGAATGTAGTAAGTTATGATGGTTTGTTGATACTGAATCAGACACTCTTCTGTGAAAGTATTGTAGCCCTTCAGGTGAGTTCTGTCAGCAACATTTCAGTCATAAATGTAATGAGAGTTGCAGTTAATTTGACTTAGTGTTGTGTTCCCATCATGGGACATGTTAATGTGGAGTCCTGAACTGTGCTAATAATGCTTATGCTTGTCTCTTCCCAGGATGTGAAATTCCCTCTGATGCTGGATGTGTATGAGCTGTGCACACCAGACCTTCAGGAAAAAATGGTTTCCTATCGATCCAAATTCAAAGACCTAGAAGACAAAAAAGTAAATCAGCAGCCAAAGAATGTAAGTCTGCTGGCAATTTCCTGGGCATTGTGATTAATTAAGTCCTACTAATCTGATCCATTCTGTGATGTGGTGACTGGGTGGGTAGGTGCAGGGAGAGCAGTTGATGTGGTCTACCTTGACCTGGACAAGGTGTTTGACACAGTCCCCATAACATCCTCCTGAGCAAGCTGAGGAGACAGGAGACAGAGGAACAGGCAGTGAGGTGGTGGAGAACTGGCTGCACAACAGCACAAGGGGTGGGGATCAATGGTGCCAAGTCCAGGTGGAGACTGGAACCAGTGGAGTCCCCCAGGGGTCAGTGCTGGGTCCAGTCCTGTCCAACATCTCCATTAACGACCTGGAGGATGTGCAGAGTGTCTGCTCAGCAAATGCTGCTGACACAAACTGGGAGGTTTGGGTGATACCCCTGAGGGCTGTGCAGCCATTCAGTGAGATTTGGACAGACTGGGGAGCTGGGCCAAGAGGAACCTCCTGAGGTTCAACAAGAACAAGGGCAGAGTCCTGCCCCTGGGCAGGAGGAGTAAAATGCAGCAGTAGAGTTTAGGAGGAGATGTGCTGGAGAGCAGCTCTGTGGAGAGGGACCCTGGAGTCCTGGTGGACAGCAAGTTGTCCATGGACAGCAGTGTGCCCTTGTGGCCAGGAGGCCAATGGGGTCCTGGGGGGCATTAAGACAAGTGTGTCCAGCAGAAGAAGGGAGGTCCTGCTGCCCCTCTGCTCTGCCCTGGTGAGACCTCCCCTGGAGTGTTGTGTCCAGTCCTGGGCTCCCCTTTTCCAGAGGGACAGAGATCTACTGGAGAGAGTCCAGCAAAGGGCTGTGAGGATGACTGGGGGACTGGAAC